AGAGTGTTGAACCACTGCTGAGAGTGAGAGAGAAAGAAATACCAAATACTTACGTCCCCTAGTATATTATCCCTCCACCCAGAAAACAGCCTTAGTTGCAACAGATGAGAATATAATGGACATACAGGACAGTTAAATACAATTGGCAGTCAGATGTCCTGCTTATGGCAAATAAAGTTGCGTTACTGTAGTCATAATTGGTTAATTAGGATTGAGAGACAGGAAGGTTTCAGGTCTGCTAATGATACATGTAGATGTCACTGAGTTAGAAAATCACAGAGAATAGCAAATCATGTAACAGCGTAATCATGTAAACACTAAAATCTCAAATTTCACAAGTTAATCTTGTTTTGCATCAGTATGGTCATTACTGAAACAGCATCCATTTCTATCCCAAGGGAACTGGTATTGAAGAGCTGTCACATAAATTGAAAGACCAGGGATCATGTTTACAGAGACTTAAGGAAAGCATCTGATACAGTCTGCAACTGCCTAGTCAGGAAGAAAATTGAGAAATTCCTGAATTCAACTGGCGTATGTAGACCTGATAATTTGTAAGTGATATACTAAACCCAGAAAGTACAGTTACATTTCTTTTCTGGATTATGACTGAGAGCAAAGCAAACATAATTCCTTCAGTAGAGGTGACTGAAGCAGGGGACGGGGAAATAGCCATTTGGAGAGTGTAACTCACGCCCTGGGAACCTGTCTGTCTTGTCAGCTGTGATCACAGCTCTGAGATTGCTGGCTGTCTCTGATGGGATTGCTTTCAACAAAGGTTTGGACAGCTTTCCTCTGATGTGACTAAAAAGAAGGTTTCTGGTTTGTTTGTTTGTTTTCTTCTTGCAGCTTTATAGCTTCTGCCTTTGTCACCTGGAGACTAGCCCATGATAATATGTTATCTTTTTGTTGTTGGCTTTTATGTTTATTAAAAGTAATCATTTCTGCAGCTGAATATTGTCATTGTCAGCTAATTTATTTTGCTGGAAGTATCTTAGTCAGGTGAAATTACCTGTTTAAATCTGAAACAGCCATATGTGACTTGGGACTTAGCTATCTGGCATCTCTACCCAACTGGTCCTGCCCTTCTGCCTCACATTTGAAACCAGTGTAAATCCTGATTTCCAGCTATCTCGAGGAGCATTAGAAGCATTCCTTGATGGGAAAGAGGGGGGACAGCTGGTAGGTGAGCATGGGAGGGCATCTCTAGAGATAAGCTTCACTGTTCAGAGCACACCTTCCTTGTGCTAGAGCAAACTGGAGCGGACTAAAAGATTGAAGGATATTCATTACTGATGCTCCAGTCATGTATCTACTGGCACCGCACCGCTCCTCCCCACACCCTCCATGCTCTTCCCCCTTCCCCAATCCTTTCTCTGGCTTACTTTTGATCTTCTGGTTCTCATCCTCTCTATGAGGACAGTGGCGATATTGCAAACCCTATCATCCTAGTTATTTTTGATACATGCAACTGATTCTTTTTTTTCACATGTGCTTCGTGTTTTCTGCCTGTCATTTCATGTCACACACAAGTCCAGTCAGCTGTAATGGCTTAACAAAAATACATGTGCTAAAACAAAGCTATAAAGTGCTTACATTGCTGGAGTTATTTGCTAGAAAGACTTCAAACAAGTTGCAGGAGATAGTGTGTTACTGCAGACTTTGCCAAAATAACTAAACCTTTAAAAAATTTTAAGGACTGATGAAGTTGTCAAATTTTGTATGGCACATGGCTAGTACTCCATAATAGCAGGCACCTCTGCAAAAGGAGAGGGGTAATGAGGGAGAAATGTAGATAGACTTCATCCTCATTGTCTTTGCATCTTTATCTAGTGTTTCAATGCTCTCTCCTTCTCTTCCCAAATCAGACTTTTGGATTGTGTACATTAGTTTGTACATTTGTTTCGTGGCTTTCCAGCAAGAAAATTTCTGATTACAATTTTTTTTTTGCTAATGATTTGTTAGCGCGATTAGACATCTGTTAAATATGTTAAGAGGCCAGAGGCCAAAACATTATTTTCTTTGAAAACTGCAACGAACTTTTGTCAGTATATGTAAAAACTTCTTGTTCAACCTTCTATCATTTTTAGAGCAACCTTCAATCATTTTAGAATATTTGATTTAGTATTACAGTTCAGGGTTATATTCCTTTGCAGAATAATATATGGAGGGCAAGCTTGCAGAAAGTTAGGAAAACAGTGTTTTTAATAGTAAGCTGAGCAAGTTTCTTTTTAAAGACAGAAGATTGCTGGTGCAAGCTTACTGTCCCTTTCAGACAAGTCTCGTTTTAAATGAAATCCTAAGGCATGGAGGCTGGATGGAGTTGGGCTAAATTTATTCAGTTGTTTTCGTTTTTGTGATTAAGGCACAAATAATGTCTGAGTCTTGGATATCTGTGTGTTACTATTTTTCTATCGGACAGTTGAAAAAGGGTAAGAACTGGTTGAAGTATAGGTACTTCATTGAGAAGGCTCCATACTGAGTGACTTCTTTAATGCGAGCCATTTAATTCCTGAAAAGTACAGTTTAAGTTTGATCCAGAAATTCATGCTAAATGAAATCAGTATCTTTGATCACAGGAAAATAGCAGAACTCCTGAAACATTATGTAATTCGCTCTCTACTCCCCTGCACCCCCCACCCCAGATATATGTATGTGTGTATATATGTATGTATGTATGTATGTACGTACGTACATTTGGGTTTCTAACTAGTAAAACATAAAAGAAAAGGTATTGGTTGGACCCCAAACATTTTTCTTTATTTTAATTTGTATCTAAAACAAAATGAAAGGAAGGATTTCAGGTTGACTGAGGATGAAATGAAAGAAAACCAAAACACCCTTGCATTAAGTTCCGCAGCAAAATGAGAAAACTGTTATTTTAATACATGTATGCCAGTGTGACATTGCCAGGGAGGGATGGGAGTGTTGAGTAGACAAGTGTGGAACCCAAATGAAATTTTTCCAATTTATTTGAAATAGTTAAATACCATATTGTGATCTTTCTATCATTTTTTTGGTGTGATTATTAACCATTTATGATGTTTTTGCAAGCTTCCATGGTATTTCTTACACAGAAAATATGTAATTTTAATTATTTCTTAATGTTTAACAACTATTACAGGAAAAATATTTTCTGATAGCCAATTCACAGTTTATCCTTTATGTGTTACCACATACTTGGAAAATTTTATGTAATTGGATGCATAAAATATGTTTATTTGTATTTATAAACACCCCCACCAAAGACATACAGTTGTAAATGGCAGTCAGTTCATAGAGTTTCTCCAGGATATGCACAATTGGCTAGAAGCGACAGTAATTTCAAAACAAGTACTATGGCTAAACGTAGGCAATTACATTCTGTCTCCAAATACTGTGAGAAGCATTTACTTAGTGTTTGAAGACCTCCCTTGTTTGTTGAAGAGTCATTTGTGGAGAGAATGACTTATGTGACTCCTCTCAAAACTTGACTAAAACTGCACACCAAAATAAGCTTGCAATCGTTAATGTCATCACATGAAGATTCTCTAGCTTTTGGAGGAAATTTAGGACAAATATTTGAAAGGGTAAACAACATTAGTTACTAGCTTGAGTCTTGTGCGTACAAAATAGCCCATGAAAAGAGTCTTAGTTAGGTGCATAGTCAAAAATTAGAAGATACAGTAACTGAGGATTCCTGTGCAAGCTTAAATAAGTCCATGTGTTTGCATTTTGTGATCACATCTTCCTTTTTTATTCTATAGAACTGTCGCTCTTTAAATGTATAGATTGGATAGTAATAACTAAGCAGCTGCTTAGTATTTTGTCCTCTTTCTGTTCAGAGTGTGATTCTCAATCTGATTTACTCCATGCTGTTCAAACCCTCCTCTGAAATACATGGTTCTATGAATATTTTTCTGGTTTGCTCATCACTATGGTAAATAAAGGACTTCAAGGTCACTAATTTGTCTTCTTTCCCTCGGTGTGAGGAAGGGCATGTTTTAAACCTTGTCTTACGAATGGGAAGCTGAGATACAGTTGCACAGGCAACTTTTAATTCTCTGATACTGTATTTTACAACTATATGAATTAGTTTTATGTTAGGAAAAGAGGGCAAATGGGAAGTGTAATTTACTAGGTGTTAAAAAAAGGAGTCAACCTGTCTTAAATTCCTTCTTCTGTGTTTCTGTCTTTTCCCTTTTCTTCCCTTTTCCCTTCCTGTGCATGAGGCATCTTGGCATCTTAGTTGAGACCTTTGGTTGTGGTTGGGAAGTAGGAAAGAAAGTGCTGAATTTAATTTGAGGTTCTTCCCTTTTTAATAGAATTTTTAGGGATTTTACTAAACAATGTCTTAATAAATAAGAAGTCAGCTCTATACAAGAACAAAACACCAACTTGAAGGTAATTTCTACCTCCCTCCAGGATTATCGGCAAAGTAGAAATAAGTAAAAATAAACATACATCATCCCCAGACTTGAATTTTGTTGCAGCTAAATGGAAAACAAACCTCAGAATATCTGAGCTTTGTTCTGTTATATAAGCCATCAATTTTGGCAGGGATTAAATTTGGCAAAAATAAATTCTTCCAATCCTTCTTTTAAGTCCTTTCCAAAGCAGGTATATTGTGTTTTGGTATTTTTTGTAACTATAAACCTGCTTAAGGGAGTGTTGAGAACTGTATTAAAAAGTATTTTTATCTTAACCTGGCATAACTACCTTTATTCTGTGCTAGTGGGAGTTTTCCAAGAGTGCTGATACTATGTAAATGCGAACTATGTAATTAAACCTATGAAAAAGTCAAATTTTGCATTCAAGCTGTTACTATGAAAGCCTATTCTGAAACATATATGACATTTTTAAAAGGTTATAGAAATATTGAGCTATGGTACCTGCTAAAAATGCAGGGTTTTCCGTTTAAATTTAGGAATAGCAACAGAGTACACAAAATACTGTAAAGACATGTTTGTCTCTTCTTGAAAAAAGCAAATTTTCTAATGTTTTGTTTGTGTTACAAACAGGTACACACAAAATTCCACTGCAGGCAAGCCCATGCTTCAGGCACTGACACTTCATGCTTGACATTTTCCTATGATGGTACTGTCCTTGCCAGCCGGGGAGGTAAGTGACTGAAAGAACCCTTTGATGTGTTGAATGTAAAACGATTTTAAATTTGCTTAAGTTAAATGGTTCGGTAAACAAACCATTTAAATCCTGTGATCGTTAAATGTAATTGTTTATGTTGGAGTTAAGATAGTGAAATCGGATACTGGTGATTTAAACCTGAAGTATTTCACAATTTACATCTTTTATTTCGATACACCATGCAGTACTGTGTTCCTGAATACACATTTTACAGCAGTTCAGGAATATTTTAAGAGAACTTGGCTGTTTATATTGCATAGTTCCTGGTCTGTCTTCTTGTCTAGCATTAATAATACACCAAAAGGAAATTATTAGCTTAATTAAAAATAAAATGAGACCAGTTTTGTTACTTAGTTCTTTCCATGAAAATTTCTGCCTCTCAATAACAGTTTCTCTGTTATTAATAACTGTTTCTGGGGTTATTAATTCCTGAAGCAGCTTTCTTATGCAATATCCTTTTCTGTTCTAATTACAGTTTTTATCTAATTTATATTACAAACATCAAGAGGTGATGACTGGTAGTGAGTGGCCAAGACGTACTTGAATGGCAAAAAAATTGGAGATGTCTAAAGGACAGAAACAAAACAATCTTTTTTTATACTTGGGTTAAAACTTTTATTAAAAAAAAAAGTCTTAGATAATAGAACAAGTCTTGAGAAGGGAAAGATATATTTGAAGACTCATTAGAAGTAGTGCATCAGATGGTGTCTGCCTAAGACAGCTTTTTATACAGAGATTTGTCTACCCGGTATTTTCGGGCAGGTGCAAGGATACCGTCTGAGCTGTCTGGATGGAAACCAGCTGTAACCAGAAGCTCTGTGTATGCATTAGCATGGCCCCAAGGCCAAATAAACAGGCCTAGGGAGAGGCAGTATATGTTAATGTCGGCTAACATTGTGCCTAACATATGTACAGGACATCTGGTCAGTTTGGTACGTAGACAGAACGAGATTACGTATACAAAATACCAGGATAGAAGTATTCATAGACGGCAGAAGCTCTGAGGCAGGGCATGTGCTTCCAAGCCAAGGGCTGTAGCTTGCAATTGCTTTGTGTCCTCCCTCTCCGTCTGTCCCTGATGGCATTGGTGGCTTTTACAACGATGTGTAGCTGCTCTTGGATGCTACCTCGCTTACTTCTTTGTGTATCCTACCATGTCTCTAAGATTCCAAACATTATGTTCCCCAGATCACGTCTTTCAGAGTAAGATGATGGTAGTCTTGTCCTTGACAGCCCTAGGCTTACTAGAGCATGCTAATGGCGCTTGGATTGTTTCTTAATTGCTGTTCAGGCTCCTGGATCCGGAGTTCTACTGTCACTGTACTCATCATGAATGAATCCTAAGTGGTTAAGGTAAAAACTCTCAACCTTACTGGTCCTTACTGAACCAGACACTTACTATGTGAGAACCTTCTCCTTGGAAAATAGATGAACCATCTGTCTCTGTGTTCTGGGCTAAGTGAAATGCTACATCTATCTGCTAGTGGTGTTGCCCCTGAAAAATTCACACAGACATACTTTGTAAGATTTAAAGAGAAACCTCAGTGTACTTTTAAATACTAACAGCAAATGAGGTTAATACTTATGTGAGGAATATTCACCAGTGCTGTCTTGAAACCTCCATTTATGTAAATTCTCTTATGTTTCACATTTATGAATGTAGATCACGTAAATGACCTTTGCTTATTTTTATTACATGTGACACTTTTGGTTGCCTGCTGTTCCTCATCTGTCTTCAGATTTTGTGTCGTGTTAAACAGACTTTCGCTTACTTATGTTTTATCTACCATTCTCTGCTCTAACCTATATAAAATGTTGATTGATCTCTTGCAGAATGTAAGACTGTACATAAATTTGGCCCCTCAGTGTGGATAAAAGTGCTACCTTTGTCTAGTGTATTCGGGAAAAAAAAAAAAAAGCTCTGTGTGCACTATGCTAGAGAATAAGAAGGAATCATACCTTATTTTGACTTGTTTGGTTAGTGCTTTAATATGAGTATTGCTTTGGATCTGTACCAACAAAAGCAGATGTGGATCCAGCATTCATAGATTAACACACCTGCCAAGTGCTGAGGATCAAAGAAAGGATAGTTGTTTGGGGAATGGGGACTTTCGTTGAAAGCCTGATTGACTCTCCTGCATCTGATGTAGATTCTGTGTTGGATATGAGAGAGATGAGGTAGGGCTCAGCTGCAAGCACAAGGGAAAATGAAAAGCTTAGGAGCTGCTTATGAGAGTTCCCAGTCTTACTCTTGTTGGATATTAGGTAGTAACTTGACAGAAACTTAAGAAAGTGATAGTTTTGCACACTTGTAACCATGAAAGTAATTTTCTCTAAATACAGTGGAGGTAGGCTTTGAGGAATGTTTTCTTTGTTTAGCAATGAAGAATAAGCATTAGGACTGGACTTGGGGTTCTATTATGACAATTTAAAAAAACTTTTTTTGACTGCTGGTATATACAGAATTTATAGAGTTTGGTTTTGTCATAATATGAAGCAATGATTAATTCCATCAATTCATTCTGAATTCATTAATCATAATTAATTAATTAATTAAGTCCATGAATCTCATGATAGCTATTAGTTCGATGGTTTGTTTATTTTCTTTGATAGGAGCACTGTGCAGAATCAGTGCCGTCTTAATCAGTAAACTTACATAGAAAATAAAGTTCACTGTAGTTAAACCCAAGAAAAAATATTCACATCTAAGCCTATCATATTTCTTATGCAGATACATATTTTCTTTTCAGCTGAAATTTTTTTTTGTTTGTTTCCTTTTGATGTTTTGGGGTTGGTGGTTTTTTTTTTTTAGCTTTAGCTGTATTTCTCTTTCCACAATGTTCTTGAGGAAAAAATTAAACATTTAATTTTGAAGTTGATTTAAAAAGTAGAAACACCTTGAATACAGCTACCTGTATACGCAAGGATTATGCAGCACCATGTATAGTGACTTTCTATTTTGCGTAGAGCAATAATATATTGCTCTTTGTGGTAAATACAGACATTAGCATTTTAAAATCAAATGGTTTTACATCAAGTAGTATTTCTCAGGAGCTGAGCACTGATGTTCATTTCAAACAATGCCAAAAACGCATTCGTTAGCTTTAATAGGCATAGTCAAATATTTGTAATGCTTGGAGCTAAAATGAGTTTCTCAAAGTCTTCATTATCCTTCGCTTCCATATGTTTAGAGAGAATGATGCACTTATGTATTTGGCCAGGCTAGTATGGATGCAGGTGATGGTGAGAGCTATTCCAAGTGTAAGTGCAGAATCCCCACTTTGTGATTTCTCTCACAAGGCCTTTGGCTCGATGTAAGTGTGGTCCTGACCTGTGGTACCTCCAAAGGTCATTCTTTACTGTTGCAGCTCCTCTTGCAGAACCAGTGCAGAATGCAGAAGCATATACCTTGTTCAGTAAGGTGCCTCTCCTTTTTCTTAGAATGACAGAATAGAATCACAGAATATCTCGAGTTGGAATGGACCCATGCGGATCATCGAGTCCAACTCCCTGCTCCTCGCAGGACCACCTAACACTAAACCATATGACTAAAAGCATTGTCCAGATGCTCCTTGAGCTCTCACAGGCTTGGTGCCATGACCACTTCCCTGGGGAGCCTGTACCAGGGGCTGACCACCATCTCAGTGAAGAACCCTTTCCTCATGTCCAGCCTGAACTTCCCCTAACACAGCTTCATTCCATTTCCTCCTGTACTGTCGCTGGTCACCAGAGAGAGGAGATCAGCACCTCCACCTCTGCTGCCCCCCATGAGGAAGTTGTAGACTACCATGAGGGCACCTCTCAACCTTCTCTCCTCACATGTGTAGCATAAGCCTTCACAGAAAGGTTCAGAGTTTATAAACGCAATATATTCTGGTGCTCCCTCATGGTAAGCTTTGTTATGCTGTGCCTTATGCTGTATTTCTTTTTTAAATTCTCATATCCTATGTTTCTTTGCTTTCACCAATGATCTTTGTGAATTTCTGTCCTTGAGCTTTACTTCCAACACAGATCTCCCTCTTTAAAATAGGAGTGAAGGATGTTGCTGACTTCAGACTTTTTGTGTTTCTGGCAGCACGTTTGCTTTTTTTGGGCCTATTTGCATTCATGTACTTGTCTGGTCAGTATCTTCTAAAAAGAAAAAAAAAAAGAATCAGACAAAATCTTTGTAGTATCAGTGCATTGGCCTTATTTTGACTAAAATTTTTTCTGGGACCTAGTTGTTACCACTTGATAAATCCAGTGCTCAGTATCATTGACATAATGGTGTTTGACCTGATTGTATCAGACTAGAGGCTGTTTATTGGTATCTTTCTTATTAAAATGGTAAAGAATAGAGTTTGAAATGCTACTAAAAATGCTATAAAACCTTTAAATAATCCTGACAGGCTTTGGAGAAGTCTGAAAAATGAAAAAGACATCAAGTAAAATACTGAATGATCTGAGTGGACTATTTTGAGTGCTTCATACTGAACTGCACAACTTCTGTTTATTTGTTTTTATTTAAGGGTGACTATTTTTGTCCATACATGAAGTAATTAAAAATAGGTCAGTATTGCTACAACTCTTGTGAAGAAGACCCTTAAGCATCGGTGGTAGGGTTCTACTGGAAAAAAATCCTTGGTGTTATGGAAAGTTATTATGTCTGTTTTCTTAGTGGTGTTGGTTTCAACTCCAAATGCAGATTAGATTCAGGAACCAATGTTGTCTTTGGAACACAGAAAATTTTAATTGGAAAAAGTTAATTTGGGCAAATTCTTAACAATGGTAAGAGTTTCACAGCATTGCCCAAGTCATTCTACTAGCATTTCTCCCTTTCCAGATACTTAATTACCTATTTCTGCACAATGTAAGACAGTGTTGATTTGAAATCAACCATGAGTTTTTGAGTCCTATAATCTTCTAATTTTTTAAACCAGCAGATTACATTTTCTTGTTAGCAGAAGAGCTATAGCTGAATGTCTGACTGCATCTTTCCTGCTAAAGCCTGGCAAGACTACAGCTTGAAGATCATGTCAAGGCTCATTCCTCTGGGAACAAAGCAGCCTTGGCTGCTAGCCTTAGATCTGTCCCTATCCAGGAGTTTTGCAGAGTGTCCAAATGGTATCCTTTGCATACATTTGTAAAGTGCTAGTGCTTTAGATACAAGACCTTGCTGAGAAGTGTTTTTTTGTTGGGGTGGGAGGGAAAAGGGAAGGTGCATATTACAAGACCTTTACTTTGAAGTGCTTGGGATGGATACTACTGGGAAACAATAAGAAAACAGATATTCCAAAAATACAAACTCAACATTTTTCTTTCTTGTCATTTTTCAACTTCCCGGTGAACAGAAATATACTCTGCTCTAGACATCATTTATTTAAGTTGTCCACTTCTTAAAAATATTTTGTAGTAAGGAGTTATCCTAGTCTTTAATATAAACACACGATGTGCGAGGCCACACATAACTGCTTTCCTGTAATGGGTACTGCTGGCCTTGATTTCTTTTGTTACAGAATGTTACTTGAAAAAAAACCAAAACCACACATTTTATTTCCAAGGCCTTCTTTAAGCTCTTGATTTCAAAAACTGTGAATCCACAAAATAGTTTGACAACCAAATTACTTCCCTGCAAGGTTTGTGCTTTGGAAGGAAGCAGATCTGTGGATTACCAGTCACTTGCCTTCTTTTCCTCATAGGTCAGGAAGATTTTGTCAGTTCTTGTCTAAAATTAGTCTCTGGATATGTTTGAAGACACTTGTTGTTTCAAAGTCCTTCTTTTGACTCTTGGAAGTGCTAAGACACTGATGTCAAATTCAAGGAGATGTTGAGGTGCCTGAGCGAGGTCCCTCAAAGCTCAAATTCTGTAGCTCATCTCATGCTGGAAATATGTATCCCAGAGGGATGACTAGTAGAGATGTAGATCTCTCTGAGAATAACTAACTAATCTCTTTTTTTTTTCTTTTCACTTTCTCACTTTGTTAATAAGTCATAACTTTTCAAAAACGAATAAACAGCCTGACTTACTAGCCTACCGTCACACCATGTTTATCAAACACAGACCAGAATTGCTGTAAATGTCTTGCTGTAACCTCAATTTTGGCTTTTATGGCCAAAGGTAGTGTGGAGAGCTGTGAAAAGGTTTCATTGTAGTAAGTGTGGGTTCACTTGCTTCTCTTCTTCCCCTTCCCCAAAGATCTCTGACTTATTCCAGGGCCTATTCTCCATACTGAGATTGCAGTTTGTTGCTCTTTACCTGCTAAAGAAGGAAGATGACTTCATGTGCTTTCCATTCTTCCTGATCATTTTTTCAGGGCAGGTAGAAACCAAACATGTAAAACTTCTTCAGTTTTTGATCTAGACTTTCCGTGGTAATATTTTAATTTCTTAATATCTTAAAAGTTAAATTTACCACTAGTAGCAGAGCACCAATGCTCACAAACACATCATAAATTAGTGTTTGGGCAGTCTGATTCCACTGTGGATAATGGTTCTTTGTAGGAGAGATTGCCATGAGGAGATATTTCTGATCTGCTGGAGTGCAGCAGGTGGAACTTCCCATCCTTGCACTTTCATAGTCATTTAGGGACAAAAAACTTCAAAACGATCCCCGTTTTGAATGCTTCTACTGTATCATTCTGTTCTTTTTATGTCTGTGTTAGCGGATAAAATTTTCTGCACATCTAAAATTCCTGACTTAAATTCTTTATTACTAACCTTTGTCCCTTTTGTTTCATAGGAGATGATACTTTAAAGATATGGGATATTAGACAATTTAAAAAGCCTCTTAATTCAGCGGAAAGGCTGCCCAGCTTCTTTCCAATGTAAGTATATTCTAATTTATTCCAGCTAGTAGAAACAGCAGTAGTTGTGCTGCACAGGAGGGAGTCTACTGGAGTTCTCCTCCTCAGTTCCCACTAGGTCTGGAACTGTGCAGAAGGGACTGCAGAGAGAGGACTGTGAAATGAGGATTCTTGGCTATTTTAGTACTTCACGTTACTTTAAAAGATCTCATATTTTTTTGTGATAATTCATAGCTAGCTTTGCTTGTTTTATGCCAGTTTTCAGTCTCATATGTCTTATTGTCTAATTACGTTAGCAACTTTTCAGGAGGAGACCAGTTTCTTGCCTTATGTTTGTGTAATGAGATATATAAGTAATCCTCATTCTTATTTGGTCTATGATTAATAAAAAAAAGAGCTGGATTGAAAAGTAGACATAACATAAAGGTGCATGGTAAGAATTCGCATTATGATGTTAGAAGTGCTGATGCCTTTGTTCTTTGGTACTAAAATACTATATTGTACTGCATGGTGCTAAGTATTGTATTTAATATTTTTATTGGTATTACCTGCATTTCTGTAACTGTAGCGCAGCCAAATCCAACTCTCAGAACAATTTATACTTTTGAAATAAAATCTTAGAAAGGCAGATTGTGGACAGCTCAATCTTGACTGCAATTTGTAGCACAGAGGGAAAGTAAACAGGCAAACGTTTTTGGCCACTGTGTAAACATACTGCCTTGTATCGTTGAAGAATGTATCATCAGCAAAAAGAGATTCCATAATTTATTTATTTTTTTATTTACTGATGATAACCAGACTTGAAAATGCATCTTTTTGTTTGTTTCTCATGTTGAAAAGTTTAGAAGAGTTTTGAGCAGAGGAGAATTTTCTTAGGAGGAGGATTTTTATTGGATCTGCCAGTTTTGCACATTCTGTACTCATCTGTAATTGTACGTGTGAACTGTGTCTGATAACTATAGTAATAGATAACAGCTGACAAAATATTTTAAGGCCTTGTCTTGAAAGGATTAACAAATAGAAAGGATTATTTTAAAGGAGAGCAATTTATAGATATGTTCTCTATACATTAATTATTGATTTACCCAGTACGATGATTTGTTTTCTTCAACAGGACAGATTGTTGTTTCAGCCCAGATGATAAAATACTCGTCACAGGCACCTCTGTTAAGAAAGGTGGTGGCAGTGGGAAGCTTTTTTTCTTTGATCGGGAGACATTCCAGAAGTTGTATGAGATAGAAGTTACAGATGCGGTATGTATTTTAGTTTTCTTTTGTCAGCTATTCAAAATATGAACAAAATCATATGAACATATGATATGATTCAGTGATTGTTACCTTGGAGAAGAGTAACATATTCTATGATTCTAACATATGCTTTTTTACCCTTATACATGTAATGACCTACTAAGGTAATTTTTCTACTCCATTTTTAAGAGTTAGAGGTAGAGTGGTCTGAATAGGTGCTATTCTCCTTTCAATTAAAAAAAAAAAAAGTTAGTATTGAGACAAGGTGTTAAAGCAGTAGGAGATCCCTGCTGTGGTGTTACCATTGCATTTCTGAAGGATTTCTGTGAACCTTTCTAGATGTGTGAAGTCAGGCATGAATCCTAGAATTCTTACACGTTTATGCTGCTTACTTGCCACCAGTCACCATGATGAAATGCCGTATTGTGACAAAACTGCTTACCCTTGAAACTAGACTTGTGGTTACTATAGAATGTATTCTAGTGGACTCTAGCTTGTGTAAATGCAACAGTTTCACTTTTCTCTGTTTAAAAAACTGGCTGGATGGCCAGACCCAAAGAGTGGTAGTGAATGCAGTTCAATCCAGTTGGCAGACGGTCACAAGTGGTGTTCCCCAGGGCTCAGTATTGGGGCCAGTTCTGTTTAATACCTTTATCAACAATCTGGATGAGGGGATCAAGTGCACCCTCAGTAAGTTTGCAGACAACACGAAGTTGGGTGGAAATGTTGGTCTCCTTGCGGGTAGGAAGGCCCTACAGAGGGATCTGGACAGGCTGGATCAATGGGCTGAAGCCAGTTGGTTCAACAAGTCCAAGTGTCAGGTCCTGCACTTGGGTCACCACAAGCCCATGCAACACTACAGGCTTGGAGAAGAGCAGCTGGAAAGCTGCCCAGCAGAAAAGGACCTGGAGGTGTTGGTCAACAGCTGGCTGAATATGAGCCAGCAGTGTGCCCAGATGGCCAAGAAGGCCAAGAGCATCCTGGCTTATATGAAAAACGGTGTGGCCAGCAGGACTAGGGCAGTGATTGTCTCCCTGTACTCGGCACTGGTGAGGCCGCACCTCGAAACTCTTCAGTTTTGGGCCCCTCGCTGCAAGAAAGACATTGAGGTGCTGGAGCTTGTCCAAAGAAGGGCAATGAAGCTGGTGAAGGATCTAGAGCACAAGTCTACTGAGGAGTGTCTGAGGGAACTGGGGTTGTTTAGTCTGGAAAAAAAGGAGGCCGAGGGGAGACCTTATTGCTCTCTACAACTACCTGAAAGGAGGTTGTAGCGAGGTGGGTGTCTGTCTCTTCTCCCAGGTAACAAGCAACAGGACAAGAGGAAATGGCTTCAAATTGTGCCAGAGGTTTAGACTGGATATTAGGAAAAATTTCTTCACTGAAAGGATTGTCAAGTGTTAGAACAGGCTGGGGAAGTGATTGAGTCACCATCCCTGGAGGTATTCAGAAGATACATAGATGCAGTGCTTCGGGATATGGTTTAGTGATGAACTTGGCAGTGCTAGGTTAACGGTTGGACTTGATGTACAGTCTTTTCCATACAATGCTATGAATTTCGTGGCAAATGGATGGAATCATTAGGAATCTCTCCATCAAAAAGTCATTCTTACCAGTAATATAAAAAATCTAAAACTGTGAATCCATAATGCAGAAGAGTCTGCATATGGCTTGAAATTACCTATTCGCCTGTACAAAAGGAAAAAAAAGCTTAATATCATAGTTGAAAAAAAAGTCCTTTTACTCTTGTGGTGTACACAAGTAAGCTTATAGATAAAAGGGAAGATGAGTGGGAGAAACTCAAACATAATTGCCATTGCTTATGTATTGCAATGTATTCTTAAGTCATATTAGTTGTCGCAGATTGTCAGATAGCAACTTTGTCACTTTGTTTCAGGATATTTTTTCCTCCTCTGCACTTTTCTTAACCCAGCACAGCAGTCTTTCCTAGCGCAGCAGACCAAAACGCCTTGTGCTAGAGATCATTTATACAGAATTTACATTTGTATTTACTTTTTTTTTTTCAAATTCCATTTTCTCTTCTAATTAATCCTAAAGCAAAATCTGCTTACAGATGATTTTGTTATATGCATCATTTATATGGCAGCAGTCTTGCAAATTAAAAATGCCAAGTTCATGTCAAAGCAGAAAACATGTTTTTTCTGTAGAGGAAAAAAGCCTGGTTTTACTTTAAACATATATTCTAAATACGTTTTTTATATGCCATAGATAGCTCTCCTGATTTCAGCTGGGACAGAGTTAGCTCTTCTTTTTAGCAGCTAGAAGAGCTCCGTGTTTTGGTGTTAGGCTGGGACTAATCATGAGAAGAACGTTGACAGCGCACTGATGTTTATAGTTGGCACTGAGGCCTCAAGGACTTTTCAACTTCTCATGTTTTGCTGGTGTGCAGGTGAATGGCAGGCCAGGTGGGAGCATAGCTGGGATGAAGCATCCACAACTCTGCTTATGATTTGAACTTAGACCTAGGATTGAGGGCTAGATTGGCCAATGAAGTGTTCTGTATCATGCAGCGTCATGCCCAGTATAGAGATGAGATTTGAGCAGCAAGAAGGACTTTTGCTCTTCTGGGAGCTCTCACTCTCGGCCTCTCAGAATGTGCTCTCGCGCTCTCTCTCTCTCGCTCTCTCTCTCTATCTGGGCCTCTCACTTATCTGGGATTGCGGTGTTGGGACTTATGTGTTTCGAGATCCTTAGTCCAGGATGGGACGGGCCTTGGTCAAG